ACTGTTAGGTCTGTTTGTTTCATTTTTGCTCAAGCGCCCCCTACCCCCAAGTTAATTTCCACAGAACAGCCAGAATGATCTTTTCAGAATGTAAATTAGATTATGTCACTTTGCTGCTTTAAATGGTTCACTAACAGCAGAAAATTCAAGCTCCACACTAGGTCTTGTAGGACTCATGTCATCTGACCCTCAACTAACATTGCAGCCGTGCCTTGTGCTTCTCTAGCTTATTCACTATATCCCAGCCACACCAGGGTCTCATTCTCATGTTCCCAGATCATCCCTGAGTTCTTTCCTGCCTCATGGCCTTTGCATGTCCTACCACCGCTTCCTGGACTTGCCAATGTCATCCTTCCAGTCTACTCTTAATAATTACCTCCTTAGAGTTCTCTCCTGACCACTCTAAGTAAAGTAGACCCTCTGCCGCTTATTTACTCTTAATCACAACATTTTGTTTATTTCCTTCATAATACCAATCACAAAATCAATTTAATTTTCCATATTTTTCTTTTTAATTTCCATTTCCATTCATAAAATGTAAAGTTTATCAGGGCTTGGCCCCTAACCTTCTTGTTCACTTTTATAGCCCCAGCATGTGCCTCAATGCTTGGTACAGAAGAGGGTCTCTATAAATATGAATGAATGAGACACTCTTCCTGTTCCCAATAGGTTTAGAGTTTAGAATGAAATAATTCATGGACAAGCAATTACAATCTGGTGTGATAGGTGCTATAGTAGAGTTAATTGTACTGTGGTACATACCTGACACAGGGATAGTATAACATGCAGAGAGATATGAAAATGTAATGCACCTCAAAGCACCTACCTTTTATTGTAAATATAAAGGAGCTCACTTTTATTGCAGAAAATTTGGAAAATCTAGAAAAGTGTAAAGAAGAAAACATTCAACTGCTGTAATCTCTCTAATGTCATTAAAAAGATTACATTCATAAATCATTGCCAATCCTACTTCATCTTTTGTGAATTACATGCTGAACTCACTTGCTGATTTTTCTTTTGGAGAGTTTGTTTTGTTGATTCTCAAGAATTGTTTACACAAAACATGATATTTACCTTTTAGCTGGCATATATATTGATATTACAGATATTGTTCTCAACTTGCCATTTGACTTTTAATTTTGTTTTATTCAGACTTTTGTTAACATATAAAACATACTTTGATATTATAGTTATTATGTATTTAAGAAATATACAATATTTCAACTTTAAGAAATTGATTTTTAAGCTTTTGTCATTAATTTATTGCTTCAGGAAATTCAGTTAGGAAATGTATAGACCCAAACCTGTATGGTTTCCTCTTTGAAGGATTTATTGAAGTTATACATTAGTCTATTATATGATCTTTGTGTAAATAATCCATGAACATTTGAACAGAAATTTTATTCTCTCTTTATATTTGTTTAGTAAATGCATTATTACTCATATTAGATACATACTCGATATTTTTTCCTGTTTGGTCAGAGTCTAAGACAAGTGTTAAAATCTTCAGATGCTGGGGGGTTTTCCCATCATTTTCTCCTTTTAAATCTGTTGACTCACGCATTTTTTTTTTTAATGACCATTTTAGTCCACTTAATGATTTTTGTATTTCTTTTTGGTTTAAATTCTACTTTGATGCTTTTGCATTATGTTTACAACAACTATTTTCTGTTTATTTGCATTTTCCTATTATGTCTTTGTTCAACTTGTTATTTTTAAGGTTACTGAGTCATTCTATATTAGGTGTTTATCTTATAGCATGCGATTAGGCATGGTTTATTTAGACAGTCTGAGAGCTTTTCTCTATTTTAACCTATTTATATTTATTGTCACAATAGAAATTTTTTCTTTTATCATTTTTACTATGCAATTTGAATGCTTTTATGCTATTTCTTTTAAATGTTTTTCTGTGTTTGGTGTGTTTTCCTTTTATTTTTTCCTATGGACTTTGCTTTTGGATTCCTTTGAATTATTAAAAATATAATCAGATACGTAATTCTTTATCGGAAGGTCTTCTGTTGACTTCCTTCTGCAGGATGAGGCAGCTATCACACTTTTATTTCTACAAACTTTCCCCCTACCCTCTGCACAATTTTGTTTGTTCAATCTCTCGTAAGGACCCTGCTATCTTAGTAAACCCCTCTTCTGGAGTGACTGTCATGCTGGCGCCAGCTGCTCTGTGTTTGAGGTGACTGTCAGCCCCAAGTCACTGTACATAATTCCCAGGCAGCAGTGCGTTGCCTTAGTGATAGATCTTACCACCCACGGAGGCTGCCTCTTCACAGCCATCACCACCCTTTCCACCATTTCCCTGCTCACTTGTTATAGCTGTAGAGCTCTGGACCTCACTGACACCCCTGGCCTCTGAATCCACTAACCTGAAGTGACCACATGGACCACAAAAAGATTCCACATGGGGGTTTTTCTGTTGATCTTATCACCCACCTTACATTCCATCCACAGCTTGGACTGAGGAGTAAAAGACAGGAGAGAGAGGGTCTATTTGGTTGGCTGTTGAGATGATAGAGGTGAAAAGTGATGAAGATTTGAACCAGAGCAATGGCATTAATATCCAACTGGTTTCAATCTACAGGATGGTTGCTTCATATGGTTCAACTTAACAGCAGAGATGGAAAGACATGGACAGATAGGAGAAATACTAAGACAGAGTCAAAAGAAAAAAAAAAAAAGGCTGTGAGGAGTGGGGCAGACGGAGAAGCCCAGGCAGATGTCTGCATCTCAGTTTTCAATGACTGGATGGGGCAACCCACTGAGGTCCATAGTTCAGGAAGGATGGCCCACTGGGCAGTGAGGGAGACAGCTCAACTCTGTTGTATACAGATGGTGTTGGAGGATCTATGTGATATCTAGGTGGAAATACAGATCTGTGAGCTGGATAAGTGAGACCCACATTCAGGTGAAAGGTCTAGAATGGAGATCTGGGCTTGGGAATTATCAGTGGATTGATAGCCATTGAAGGAAGAGTGTTTTCAGTTTACAAAAATGAATAGAAGAAGCCCACATTTGAAGAGTGGATATAGGAGAAGTGCTTACAAAGAAACCAGTGGTAGAATAGACACAGATTGATGAGAAGAACCATGAGAGTAAAGTATCGCCTGACCCTAAATAGAAGAGAGACCCAGAGAGGGAGAAGCTATGAACGTCAGTAATTGTAGGAAAATGGTCAAGTATGAAGAATGAGTATAGCGATCATTTGCTGAGAAGCTACCATGTGCCCTATATAGTTCTAAGTGGTGTGTTAGCTCCTTCCACCTGAATCATTACCCAGTGAGGCAGGCACTGTAATTAAAGATGAGGAAACTGACGCACAGAGCAGTAAGGCAACTTGCTCAAGGTGTACAAGTACAAGGTGGAACAACCATGACTAGAGCCCAGGCATTCTGACCCAGATCCCAAGCCCTATACTGTTTTCCTTCTTAAAGTAAGATAAGGATTGAAATGTGTGTATTGGATTTAAGCAGTAAGAGCACTAGTAAGATTGCTGGTGTCTGCCATGCAATCAGTGTTGGGGGAACCGCTGAGGACAAAGTCCAGGTGACAGGGGTTGAAGTTTTGCACTGGGAAGTAGGGGAGTGTAGAGTGAGCGTAATTAAAACTATTGAGAATTTTAAACGTGATTGAACCACAATTGGACTGTAAATACAACTGCTGCCAAAGGGTAGCTTTTAAAGAGTAAGAGAAATCCAAGCGTTTATGTCTGTCAGAGTCAGCAATAAAAGGGAGGATTCGGAGATATGTTAGAGAGAGAGAGAACCAAGAAGCTGGAAAATGCACCAAAGGTAGAGGTCAAGGGCGCTGGGGTGTGCCTTGCAGAGAGGGGGCAGTGGTTGGTGTGTAGCCATCTAACCCATGAAGATTAGGTTGATGGGTAGGAAGTTAGAAGTCAGCCCCTCTGTAGTCCTCTTGCCTCTTAAAGATGTGATGTGGGTATCTTGCAGGGATTGGGTAGGTGATGTTGAAAGGGGACCATTTGTGTGGGGTATAGGTGTGGAGAAGGCACATTTGCAATAGACTTGCCAACACTGAAATGAGGAACTGGGGCTTCTGGCGAGAATGGTATGGGTGATTAGTCAACAGAGTGGGGGAACCCTGGGTTTGTTGAGAATACAGGGAGGTCCACGCAGCATACAGTCTCTAGAAAAGTTGAGATCCAGGGTACCATATGCACTGCAGAAGCAGGTTTAAGAGGGGTGAGTTGGGAGAGGAGTGCATGGTAGCGGTCTGTGCCAGAATACACTGAAAATTCCAGTTTGTGGAGTGGAGAAGGACAAGTGTGAGCATGTGACTGAAGCTGATTGGAAGACGAGGCCACTAGAATTAGGGAGGTCAAGGGCATTGGTCATGCTGTCCACACAGATAGTCACATCTCCTTTGTGAAGGTGGATGGTGGGTGACAAGGAAAGCTGTTTACTGAAATCAGCAGTTTGAGTGGGAGTCAGAATGGAGGATTCAAAGAACTTGTTGCCCTTGGATTCCCAGATACCAACAGTGGTGCCTGGGGCTTATTTTCAAGAGGTGTTATTAGGTAATTCAGATGGACTGTATTCCTTCGAGATGTGGAATTAAATTAAGGTAAACCCTCTTTGGCTTATGGTGGCTTCTCCCTCATCCTTCGTAAGAAAGTTGAGATATTCGGAAGTCATTCTTCTCTGGGCTTCCCCTGAAACAACAATGAAAAAGGTGCAGATCGGGGTTTCCAGGCCACATTTGGGTTGTTTTCCCTGCATCCCAGTGTTAGTTCTGAAAACCGTTAGAAATGTTCCATGTGGCTGGTTATTCTTTTGCTAGTCACCGGAATGTGGCCTTTTTACCTTATTTTGAAAATCCACATCAGTTGCCGCGGTAGCGCCCTAGCCTAATGTAAGAGCTCTTTTGGTAGTTCTAGTGGGAAGCTGAAACATAGATTGTTTGGGGGCTGGGGAGCTGATGAATTCCTACCACCCCTTTTGCGAAATTGACTCCTGCCTTGTGTGTTGCAGGTGATATTTGAATCCGTCTCTCTGAAGGGTCATCCTGGCTACATCGCTGTGGACGAGGTCCGGGTCCTTGCCCATCCATGCAGTAAGTCTCTCCCCTCATCCTAACACAGCCTGGCTCCATGCCAGACTGGGTAGCTTGGAGGCTGCAGTCCCCCCCTATTCATTCAGCTCACAAACATCTCTCACTCTCTTACATACTCAATGCAATCAGTCCTGAATAAATCCATAATTTTGCTGCCTGTAGGCAGCACCTCCAGGACTTTGCAGAGAGCGGCAAAACATCTTTGTTTGAATCTGTCTATTAAGGGAGTCTAAAGTCCTGATTGTTTGTTAGCGGGATTCAGACCACTGAAGTGGAAGAATTAGAGGGCTTTGGCTAGAATCCTGGGCAATTGTCTCAGAAAAAGAACACCACCAAAACATTGAGCAAATTAGCACACTGTTCACTCCCAGGGAAAAGTACCCCGAAGCTATTAATTCTTTAAAAGTAATTTTAAATACCCTCATCAACTCCGTGTAGGCGTAGGCAGAGATTTCTCACAGTGGTTAGTACTTATGGTACAGTGTCGAGAGTTCTCAAAGGCATTTCATTCCTCCAAGCCCAGCCAATTTCCCCTGGAAGTTTTCTCTCTTTGTGTATTTGGTCTAAGATATTTGAATGTGTCTGAGCAAGGAGATGTGCTTCCCAGGTTCACTAAATCTCCGAGGGGACAAGTCCTGGGTGCAGGTAGTTGAGATGGCATCATATCCAGTGACATTTGGTGGGGGGATTGTAATCAAAGGGATATGCCTGGGGATTATGGCAGCCCCATAGGAGGGCTGGTTAAGTTGCCAGCCCCATTAGTTTGTTAGTGTCTGCAGATTGGAAGTTCCTATTAGTTTCTTGGCAGCCATTGGGTAACTAACTCGTAGCAGGGTTGTCTCCACTTCTTCATTATAGCCATGAGTCGTGCTATGGGCTCTGGTGCAGTTTGCTGTTCCCTCAAGAGATATAATATGTCCTGTGCTTTTATGCCTTTCATGCCTCCCATTTTGAGGCTCTTCTCATTTCTGCCCCATCTGTGTTGCTTTAATTGGAATGATTCTTTCAACTTCTGCTACAGTGAATTCATCAGAGCCCCAAACATCACTTCCCTCCCCTGGCACTACAGTGACATTGTTTGACCCATTGTCTTAGAGCACCTTCTCTGGAGGAATTTGGGAGGAGTTCCAAGGGGTTCTGGCAAGACAGTATTTTGGATAACTGTGTTTGGTGTCTGTGTAAGGGAAACCTCCTCCCCAGGAATCAACCAGCATCTCAGAAATGCTGAGATCCTATTAGATTCTCCACTACTCTGGCCTAAGTTTCCTACCCTCTGGGTTACTTCCTGAGTCTTTGGGATTTTCTCAGATGGATCTGTCCATTCAGTTATGCCCAGCAAATGTCTCTGCTGAAACAGACTTTATGTGAAGAGGGTCCCAGAAATCCCCCAGCTATGCAGGGTTTATGTACTGGGTATACACATGAGTCCCTCTTACCAGGATTAAGTCTTCCCCTCCCTTGACTCCTGGGAATCAGCATTTGCTGCCCCTTGGAGAATGATTGTTGACCTCAGACCATGTCGGGAGATGTCTGGTCTACTTGGGATCCACTTAACCTCACACACTCAGCCTTGCACAACCATCAGTTTTGAGGCAGTCTCTCTGAAACAGGATTTCAGCAATCCCCAGGTCCTGCACCCATTGCATCCTCGGAGCCGCATCCAGCTGCATGCGTGCTGCTTACCCTGTGCTGGATTTCTTGCACTAGGGCCTGGTTCTCTCTCCTGGGATCCCAGAATCCTGTCCTCTACTGGGAATTTTTACCTCCACCATGACACCCAACCTGACACCTGTCTCTTGTCTCAGCCTCAACTCTGCCTTAACTCTACACACTGTCTGTGGTTTGCCGTTGCAGCCCCATGCTTCCTTCTCTCAGAGAAATCTGCATGGGCGAGGGTTCTCTGGAGGGCGTTTGAATGCCTTTCCGTGCCTGAAGTCTCATGGCTCCTCTTGGAATCCTCCTCCCGTTGAGGCTGCTTTTGAATTTTGGATGCTTCTGTGAGCTTCATACTCGTCCTGCTGAGGGGTATGCATTATGTGGCTATGGAACTGCTGAGAGCAAGTTACCCAGCCAATGGGCCGTGGGACATAACTCAGGAAGACGTGACCCTGGCTGTGTTCTTGTGTAATGTGCTTCATCTGAGCTCAACTCAGATGCTTAGGCGGCTTCAGCTTAAAACTTCCTAGAAATCAAAATGTGCAACTCTGTGAAAGTGGCTGGAATTGGAAAATTCCATTTAACTCTCTGTGCAAATATTGGTGGTGCCTGTAGTCCCCTGAGTTCTATCCATAGCTCGTGAGTCATGTGGGGTTGACCAGGGCCTAGCAAAGGCCCCTTCCCGAGGCCCCATGCTCAGTCCATATCCAGCCAGGGTTTTTATTCATTCTGTCTTTCAACGAGTCAATTATTGAGCGTCAGTTATGTGTCGGGAACTTCTGCTGGACACAGAGGATACTTAAGTGACCAAGATAGGTAGGTCTTCGTTCCCATGTTGTATACTTAGCAGAAGGACAGAGGGAGGAAGGACATTAAGTAAGTAACTAATATTAAGTAAGTCACTAATATAATTTCAGGTAGTGATGTGTTGTGAATATAGTAAATGTGAGGGACGGATGTGGAGGGGCTTCTTAGATAAAGTGGTCAGGGAGATATCTTTTTTTTTTTTTTTGGGGGGGGGGGGGCGTTGCGCGGGCCTCTCACTGTTGTGGCCTCTCCCGTTGCGGAGCACAGGCTCCGGACGCGCAGGCTCAGCGGCCATGGCTCACGGGCCCAGCCGCTCCGCGGCATGTGGGATCTTCCCGGACCAGGGCACGAACCCGTGTCCCCTGCATCGGCAGGCGGACTCTCAACTACCGCGCCACCAGGGAAGCCCTCAGAGAGATATCTTTGAAGATGTGGTCTGAGCTGAGATCTGAGTCGTAGAAGGAGTTCACTGTGTGAAGGGTTGGGGAGGGGGCATTCTAGGCAGAGGAAAGGGCAAGTGCAGAGGCCCTGCAGTGGGATCAGCTTGATGCTGCCGGAGTATCCTGAGCATGGGGAGCATGGGGGAAACTGTTTCTGAGTGAAAGGGAAGCAGGGCCCTGGACATCATTGTGAGTGGTTAGATTTTTTTTTTTTAACTTATCAAACTGTGTAATTTATTATTTTTAATTGAAGTATAGTTGATTTACAATGTTGTGTTAATTTCTGCTGTGCAGCAAACTGATTCATTTTTTTAATATATATATATTCTTTTCCATTACGGTTTATCACTGGATATTGAATATGGTTCCCTGTGCTATATACTAGGACCTTGTTGTTTATACATTCTGTATATAATAGTTCGCATCTGCTAACCCCAGACTCCCATCCATCCCTCCCCATGCCCCCCCGCCCCGGCAACCACAAGTCTGTTCTCTATGTCTGTGAGTCTCTTTCTGTTTTGTAGATAAGTTCATTTGTGTCATATTTTAGATTGTGAGTGGTTAGATTTTTTTTAATTAATTAATTTTATTTTTTCCTGCATTGGGTCTTTGTTGCTGTGTGCGGGCTTTCTCTAGTTGTGGCGAGCAGGGTCTACTCTTTGTTGCGGTGCACGGGCTTCTCATTGCAGTGGCTTCTCTTGTCATGGAGCATGGGCTCTACATGCGTGGGCTTCAGTAGTTGTGGAACACGGGCTCAGTAGTTGTGGCTTGCGGGCTCTAGAGCACAGGCTCAGTACTTGTGGTGCACGAGCTTAGTTGCTCCGCAGCATGTGGGATCTTCCTGGACTAGGGCTCGAACCGGTGTCCCATGCATTGACAGGCAGATTCTCAACCACTGCGCCACCAGTGAAGCCCCATGACTGGTTAGATTTTAATCTAAGTGTAGGGAGGCACCACTGGAGGGGTTTATGCTGGGGATTGATATGATCTCATTTAATTGTTAAAAGATTACTTTGGCTCTTCTGTGGAAGAGGGGTTGAAGGGAGAATAGAGAAGAAGTCAGGAGACCTATGAGAAAGAAAGTTCTAGAGTCATGTAAGAGATGGTGATGTCCTGGACCAGGTAGTGGAGAGACATTCATTCACCATCCAACGTGTTTACTGAGCATATGCTCCATGCCAGACGCTAGTCTGGGTTCATGGAAGTGAGTAAGGACAGATTCATTCTTTGCCCTCATGGGCTTCCAGTGATGTGAAAGAGACTGAAAATAAAACAATCAGGTAATTATCTGGTCTATAACAGATGGTATATTAGTCAGCTAAGGCTGCCATAACAAAATACACAGACTGGGTGGCTTAAGCAGAATTTTATTTTCTCACAGTCCTGGAGGCCCCAAGTCCAAGATGAAGGTGGCAGGTTTGGTTTTGTCCGTGGGCTCCCTCCTTTGTTTGCAGACGGCCCCCTTCTCATTTTGTCCTCACATGGTCTTTCCTCTGTGTACATGTGCCCCTGATGTGTCTTTGTGTGTCCAAATTTTCTTATAAGGACATCAGTCAGATTGGGTTAGAGCCCGCCCTAACAGCCTCGTTTTAACATAATCACCCCTTTAAAGTTTCAGTCATCAAATACAGTCACAATCTGAGCTGTTGAGCATTAGGGCTGCAACCTGTGAATTTTGGGGGGATACAGTTCAGCCCATAACAGATGGTAAGCAGACTATGAAGAAACATAGAGCTTAGAGATGGAGAGAGGTAGTGGACAGATTAGAGATGAATTTAGGAGGTGGAGCCCACTGGTCCTAAGTGATGGGGTTAGAGTAGGAGCCAGAGGCATCAGAAATGGAGCCCTGCTAGGTTTCTGGCTTCATCACCTGGGTGGTGTGATTCTGGGGAGGAGGTGTGCGTGACTTTTCATGGTTCCCATTGTGCATGGGTCCTGGAGGCTGCTCATGGGATCGCGAGTCATGCAGCCTGCTAGTAGCTTCTGAACTGTCCTTTGGCCTGACAGTGCTTTTCCCCCAACCCCAGCCTTAATGCATTTATGACTTCACTCATAGCTTGTTAAAAACTTAACACTATTAAAAGAATGCATCCTCTTTAGGTCCTCAGGCTTGTAATTCTCCACTCCAGTTCCCTAAAACATTTTTTAAAAATTAAGGTATGGTCAGAGTTTATCAATAAGTGATTCCACTAAGTATTCCAAGAGTTCCAGGGGGCTTAGTGCATGATTTGCAATTGTATTCTCGATCGATTTGAGCTGAAGTTATGACTTTAAACAGTTGCCTGCCAGCTTCTAAAACAGTGACCGGAAGATAAGTGTGATACTCAACGGAAATTATTTTCTCCTACAAACTGAGACCTCTCATCTGTATTTTGTGGCCCATTTAACATTTTTGTGTTATTCTGCAAATATTTTAGCCATAGTTGCCCTCTGCTGCTGTGTCTCCAGGTCAGCCATTAGCAGGGCCACTACGGTTATAACTGTGGACGATAAATGTCAGCACGATTTTCCACTCAGTTTCAAAGTTTCTAGCTCCTAGGTTGACTTTTAGAATTGTTTAAACTTTTTTTTTTCCCCATCACAACCTTGTGGGGCCGTGTCACTGAGCCCACGGTCTGCAGCACGTTTATAATGTATGTAGTGCACTTTCTCCGCAATTGTGTGGCTTCCTACTGAGCACTGTCAGGTTTAAAGAGCGAGATAAAGGGCACAATAATACGTCTTCAGATGCTGTACTGACATCTGCAGGAGTGTAAATGTCACCAACATCAAGGCTTTTTGCCCCAAACGCACAGCCCGTTTTCTGTTAACCCCATTCTGCAGGGTCCCATTTTGGGGGCGCTGGGTCTCAGTGGGGAGTGAGTGTGGGATGCTTAAAACCCCGAGCTGGTGGCTGGTCTGGGCCCCAAGGTCGTCTGTGCTTGGCCGAAGGTTGGTGAGTCGAAGCAGGTGGGATGATTGCTTTCCTGGAGCTGTAGATGCTGGGTGCAAATCGCAGCTGGGAGAGGACTGGGGTGGGGGTGGGGGGATGGGAGGAGGACTGGGGAGGCCAGGAGCTCAGAGAAGTGTACCAAACAGGTCCCCAACATAAGGAGGGTCCCCCAGAGAGAGAGAAACAGATCTGTCTTGAGCTGGAGATGAAGCCAGGGCTCAAAGAGTAAGGGCATGTGGAGAGGGTGCTAAGCAGGAGGGCGGTGGCCCGGAAAGGTCACCGTGTTGAGGACCACGATCTAGGGCTAGTGTGCACGTGATACAACAGCATGACGCCTAGAGGGGTGGGGACATCCCTGGTTTTATGGGTTCAGACCAGGCAAGACTGGCCAGCGGAAATTCTTCCATAAGAGCTATGTAACGGAGACAGCCAACTAGAAGAGCATGCCTGCAGTCGTGTTTTGTTAAGTCTACATAATGTTTTAATAAATTCAGTCAAGATTTTAGAATGAGGGCTTTCACCTAGGCTGGATTTCTTACTTGCCTTGAGAAATCGGATGATTGGCTACCCTGAGCACAACACTGTCGCATGGCCTCTGTCTGCTGGATTTAGGGAACTGCTAGCTGCCCCCTGCGTACGGGGCATGGGGTCTTTATCCAGTTCTCCTAAGTCCCCACCACTCCTTATTGCCTCCTCACTGCTGAGGCTGGTGTCAGATACCAGTTATTAGTGTGCTTGTGATGTTGCCTTTCTGATACAGAGAAATCTTTATTTTACCCACGTCTCTATGAAAGGTAGGAAAATGAATAAGGGGGCAAGGAGGTGGCAGTTTTGTTTTTGTTTTACAGCTGAACCACTTTATTCCTTTACATAACTGTCTGGCTCCTGAAGGCGCGTGCTTTCAACATCTCTGCTCTCTGTAAACCCTCAGTGTTTCATCAGCATTATTAATCCCAGGGGCCATTAAACCTCTGAATTCTCTACCACTGTACCTAGAAGGGAGGGAGGAAGAGGGATTGCAGAGGAAAGAATCAAGGCAAGAGGTCTGCTAGAAAGGCGTCAGAAGCAAGCAGGAAAGGGAATTCCCTGGTGGTCCAGTGGTTAGGGCTCCCTGCTCTCACTGCCGAGGGCCTGGGTTCAACCCCTGCTCGGAGAGCTAAGATCTCACAAGCTGTGCATGGTGTGGTCAAAAAAAAAAAAGAAAGAAGCAAGGAGGAGACATTGATCCAGAGACAATTCATTTCTAGTTGCACAAGTCCCAGAGGTTGAACCATTTGCCCAGGGTCCCCAAGGGTGAGGGCAGATATCCTTTTGTAAAAACCCAACACAAAGCCTCCCAACATTGGAACTAAGATTCTGTACCCCCTCCTTACCAGGGAGTAGATGTTCCTTCCCGCTTCAAACAGGTAGCATAAAGGGGCTTACAAGGTTTACTCTATTCCCACTTAAAAATGGACTTGAACTGCTAGTTCCAAAACTAACTTTACAGAATTATACAGGAGGGCAAAAAGGAAAAAATTTCACACAATCAAAGCAGCATGACATTTGTCAGGTTGACTAGATGCACGAATCTTCAACTCTGAGAAGCCCACAGTGAGAGGACCTCCCTGGGCCTTGGACTCTTGACGCCATCTAGTTGGGGGGCCCTGGAGGTGGCATGAGGGGGACTCTGAGCTGTTGTCACTTTGTTTAAAAACCTGAGCAGAAGCTGTATGTTTTTGCACAGCAAGTCTGCCTGATCATGCCAAGGTCCTTGGCTTTTGCTGAGCATTGCAGGTGGTGACACAGTTTGGTAGAGCAGACAGTTCAAAGTGTGAAAGCCATGGGGATGAATGCCAAGGAAAGGAATCTCTTGTGGTAAAATATTCCAGAGCAATGACAAGAGTCTGGAGGGTCAGCACAGCCTTGCCTGTGAGCCCTTTCTTTGGACCCTGGGCTCCAGGTGACACCGTTGACCTCCCCGTTGTCCATGAGGCAAGAGAATGTGCTGGTTAAAATGCTGAGTTTGGGGCTAAAATGGACCTGGACTGAATTCTGTTCCTGTCATTAATGCTGTGTAGTGTTGGACAAATTAAACTTGGTGAGCCTTGGTTTCTGCTTCTCTAAAAGAGAAATAACACTAGTGTCTGCTTTAGGGAATATTATGAAGTTAACGTCAATAAAACGTGTAAAGCATTTTTCACAGTGCCTGGCATTGGAGGAGCTTTCAATAAATGATGCTATTATTATTACTTGTCTGTCTGGATATTTGACTCCCTCTGAAAAGATGGCCAAAGGCCCTCGTTGAACCTCCTGATCCTCTTAACGACTGTCGGTTTGATCGCATCCCAGGGGTATCTGATGCCTGGTTCATCACTGATTTGGTTGATGTGATAGGGATCGTTGGCACTTTTGTACCTTGATGAAGAAACGCATTCTTGTAGACGTAGATTATCAATCCACTCGTCTCTGGAGAGTTCACATAGGCAAGGACCTCTCCACACACAAGAAAGGAGATGAACCCAAGTTACCCAACATAAAACATATGTTTAATTCTAAAACTGATTACCCACGGACAGCGTGAGTTTCATTTGAAAGTCCTTTCTCCTGTTACGCCAGGTCCCCGGCGTAAATGTCCCACCTGCATCCCATCCCTATAGATACCATAGCTTAGAGTAAAGAGCGCAGACTCTGAATGTGTCTTGAATTCTCGGTGCCTTGCGCCACTCACTGTAAAATAGAGATAACACCACCACCGACTGTGTTGGGTTAAGTGAGTTACTATGCGTAGACACTGCCGTGACACCAATCACGTAACCTTCATTCACTCGGCGCTCACTGCTAGTGTCCTCCTCCACCTGTTCCCCGTCCTCCCCTCTTTGCCCCCTTCATGACCCGCATCATCACCAAGGCCAGGTGTGCGAGTCTCAGGCCCAGAGGTGCTTCACTTCAGTTTTCTTCTTTCTGCTCACCCAGGTCTACAGGGAGATATCTTCTGGGGTGACCCCCACCCCCACCCCTCCAACTTCCTTTTGCAAACATGGCCGTATCACCCAGCAGCTAATAATATGGATTTTGAGGCTCTCAGAGACATGGATTCGTGTCTTGCCTTCCCCAGTTTCTGGCTGTCTGACCATGACAAACTGTGTAACCCTTCAGAGCATTAATTTTCTGATTGGTGAAATGGAGGTACTGCCCACCTTGTGGATTTTTGTGAGGTTTAAGTGAGATGATGCATGTAAATGTCTTAGAACAGTAACTGGATCATAGGAAGTGATCAATCAACAGTAGCTTTTCACCGAGCCAGACCATCTCCTAAGCACAGATTCCCCCCTGCCCAGTGCCCATCCTGAGCTCCCACCCGCCGACAGGGCCATGGTCAGGCTGTTGAATTCTGTCCTCATGTGCTTTTTGGCTTCTCTCTTAGGAAAAGCACCTCATTTTCTGCGGCTCCAAAATGTCGAGGTGAACGTGGGGCAGAATGCCACCTTTCAGTGCATTGCTGGTGGAAAGTGGTCTCAGCATGACAAACTTTGGCTCCAGGTAAGGATGGGAGGGGCCCCCTGCTCATACCTGCCCACCCCTTGGGAAGGGAAGAAAGTGTGTGCCGTGATAAAGGGCTTGGTGGGGGAAGGGGAAGGGGTATTTTTTATGTACCTCTGCTCCTTGGATGATACTCTGCATCCATGATCTTGTTAAATCTTAACTCTGTTATGTAGGCATCAGTATTCCCCATTTTACAGATGGAGAAACTGAGGTCAGAAACATAAAAGTGCCAGAACTAGAATTTGCAACTCTGAGCTTTCCCAACTTCTTTCTAAGCAACTTTGTCCTTTAAGCCCAGAATCCCAGGACGAAGGCAAACTGGGTATTTTAGATTCTGGGTACATTTGCATTTCCATATGACTTTTTTGTCAATTTCTAATACAAAAAAAAAAAAAAAAGGCCTGTTGGATTTTGATGGGGGTTGATTGCATTGAATCTATAGATCCCTTTGGGGAAAACTGACAGCTTAACAACAATGAGTTTTCTCATCGTGAACTTGGTATATTTCTTTGCTTATTAAGATCTGTAGTAATTCCACTCAGCAGGGTTTTATAATTTTCATTGTTCAGGTCTTGTATATCTTTAGTCAGTCTTGTCTCTAAGTATCTCCTATTTTTGATGCTACTCTAAAATACATTGAAAAAAACCCCTCAATTTCTGATTTTTCATTACTAGTATACAGAAATACAATCGACTTTCCTATGTTGATCCTGTACCCTGTAACATTGTTAAACTTAGTGTGACTATTTAAATTTAAATTAGTTAAAATAAATACAATTCAGCACTCAGATGCCCAGTTGCACTAGCCACATTTGAAATGCACAGTAGCCACATGTATCTTGGGGCTACCATGTTGGACAAATGCAGATAGAGAACATTTCTGCCATTGCAGAGAGTCTTACTGGAGAGCACAGCTCTAGAGAGACATCACCTCCAGTTCAAGGAATCAGGAATATTGCTTGAAAGAAGCTGACTCCCGTTACCTCCAACTTCATACACTTAAAGTTCTCTATCATCTCTTCTGACTCACAGAGTTTGGACGTTGGTCCTTAACCCATGCCCAGCACACTTCGATGGGAGTTCATAATATCACTTCTCTTCTTGCATTTGAGCTCATTTCCTGCAATTGGAAAGTCCCTGGGCCGAGAGAGCACATCTAGGAGCTTCTTTTCTTGCTTCTTAGCAGAGCAGTAGAATGAAGATAGCAGTAAATAATAACGCCTGCTCCTGCCGCTTCCCGGGTCTGCCTGCAGACCACAAGAGAGCACAGCAAACTTCCACATGTCACTCAAGTATTACGTATTGCTATTTATTCATTATAATTAGTATTAAAGTGCATCAGGATCCCGAGAAGCTTTGTCGTGTCAATGGCGTTGCCTCAGTTGGGTCACAAGAACGAGAAGAGACAGTCACAGTCCATTCAGCATCTTTACTTGGGTTTTCCAATGATCTTATGAACGTTATTGCTACAGTTCTGAGTTGCATGCTCTAAACCTTGAGTCTGTCAGTGGAAGGCTGTTAAAGCAGAATGTAATTGAAGTTTTGAAGGAAATAGAAACACATGGTTTAGAACCCTTCCACATCTTATTTATTTATCTACTTTTTGGTGTAAACCAAATCTTATTTCCAGAACGTTTTTCAGGTGGCTTACAGTGGGACATACAGCATGCCAGGATAGCATAAATTAAGTGAAGCAACACAAAATAGGAGGAAAATAACACGTCGGAGCTGGTCACGTGCTAAAAACTGCATTTCTGTACAGCTGCTGCTTCCTGGTGGGTCACAGGCACACAGAGCCCACAACACCATGGCCACAGACAGAATAAGGAAAGCTTGTCAGATACACAGTTCACAGTGATGTCCCTGAGATGAACACAAACCAGTGGCTCCAGAAAATTCTGTCATTCACACAGAGGCCAGACAGGAATTGTTCCCAGGAGTCCTCATAAAGAAAACAGTCTGTGGTGTAGGGAACAGCATTTTCCACCACAGTCTTACTGAGGGCACACAAGGGAGTTTCATAGGCTTGTTTCCCATAGTGATGCTCTGGGTAAAAGCAAGTTGGCGGCGGAGGTGGGTGGGTGGGAGGGAGGTGGGGTGGGCAGTGTGATATGGCAGAGGTCCCCAGCTCTCTACCATCGCCATCCTGGGATAGCTCACATGTATCTGGAGAGTGAATAGATTCAATAACTACATTTCTTCAAGGGAACCACCAGAAATGTTATCTCCCTCATCTATATTTCAGGAAACATTGGGAGGTAGATGGCTTACGCTATGCTCTCTGGCAAAATGCCCGCTTGGCCAGTTAAGTCCAGGCTTATATTCAACAGTGTAGTTGGAAGTAGGTCAGCATCTTTCTATAAGATATGAGACGCCAGTCATGATACCTGCCACCCAAGAGACAATTGCAGCCCTGATCTGAGATGGACGGGCTAAGGCAGTGGCGGGTTTCTCATGAGATATTGCTTTGGATTTATTCCAGCGCCTAGAGGAACTGCGTGCAGACTTGCCAAAGTTGTGTTCCATGTAACAGGCTGGGGCGCCTCAGCCTGAGAATTTCCAAAGTCAGTGAAACAGACACATTGTGGCCAAGAGTCCCCAGGACACCTAGAGCAGGTGTGCCTTTCAACAATGCTATTCCTTGCTGTCGCTTCCAAGATAAGCTGACTATTCCCTAAGTCACCAAATGTGGAAACTTTTTTATCCAGCAGTTTTAAGTCAGGGAAATAAAGGCGGTGACTTTAGTCTCAGAATAGTATGTCAGTGGCCCTTCTCCCTGGCAGTGGTTAGGGAAAAGTTGGTGGACGCGTAGTTGGGGATAAATCCCTGTTGCCTGTTGTAGAGAATGCTTACCTTCTTTTTATAGAGCAGGGATCTACAGCCTGCTTGTCCTTAAGTGCTTTCAGATCATAAATTAATAAGTTAAAAAGGAAGACTACCCATACCCCTGTTTTGCACCCTCCTGAAGACTTAATGTGCTCTCTAGAAGACTCTGTCTGCTAGTGCCAGCTGTCATGGAATTATAGTGCAAGTTTTGCATAAAAATCAACAGACAGGACCTATGCAGAAATGCGTACACCTAAGCCTAGAACAATTGTAGTCTTTTAGGGAAACGGCGGATAAAGGCCAGTAAAAGTTATAAACAAGCTCATCTCGTTCTGGGATGATTTCTTCTGGAGGTGAAGCATGTAGTGCCGTGGCCTCCGGTGGAAGGGCCTCATTCATAACTTGCTGATTCCTTATGTGATGCGTTGTCCTGAGGAATCCGGACTTGTGATTCTTCAAGCATTTTGTTCAGGCGAGTGGTTGGTGTGCATCCTGACTGGAATAACTAGGAAGAAAAGCAGCCTACAGTCTGGGGAGCCCTTTTGGAAAAAGGAAAAAAAAAAAAGCAATATTCAGGGTACAAGTAGGTGGAACTGTAGTGACAAATTATCGGCGTAGCACTGTGAAAATGTACGTGGTACATCTTTTCCGGAAGGTAATTTGGCAGTAGTTAGCTAACACTTTTAAATGTACATATTCTTCCGGCAAGTAATTTTACTTTTGGGAATACACCTAAGGAAATAACCAGAGACAGGAAAAAAATGTATATGCAAGTGTGTTCAACAGGATGAAAAACTGAAAACAACCTAAATGTCCAGCAAGAGGGGACTGATTAAGTGAATGGGGCCATTAAATATCAGGTTATAGAAGTCTGTTTAATGCCATTTTCACAGTATATACTGAAGTGAAAATAGCAAGTTATAAAACGATATGCCCAATATATTAATTTTATATCAAAACCCAACCATATGTATACACACATATTTACACAAATATATACATACCTCTATAAACATACACATATAACACTATAAAACACATATCAAGACACTTAATAATTGATTGCGATGGTAGATCATGTATGCTTTTTTAATCTTTACTCTTTTCTGTTTCATCCAAATATGCTAAAATGAATATAGGTAACTAATATTAACAGAAAAAATGCTGTTAAAAGGAGAAAAGTGATCACTTTTTCCTAGGCACAGAATATTCTAAGGATGGTAGGAGCCTTCACAGGGCATAGAATTAGGGGTAGCTATTCTGACAGAAGCGGCAGCATTGGCCCCTGTTGAGAATACGGGTAAAGTTACCCTCAGACTGCCCCACCTCATCGCCACCAAGAGATACTGTTCATTAAGGTGGAGGTTTAGAAATATTTTTGTGTGTCACCTGGTCTTTATGGAAGATTGCTGCGGGATCCATGCGCTCCTCAGGGGCTCCGGGGCAGGCCCTGTCAGCCCCACCCCAAGGCTGACTTCCAGGTCTCCCTACAAAGGATTCACTCCATCGGAAGTCTGTACAATGAATAGCGTTCGAAGAGTCTCAGAAATGAGGCCACGTGTCCAAAGCCTCTGCACAGATCTCGGTAGGGCAGCATATGTGTTTAGACAAATCACGGGTGTTGTTACAGGGAGCACACCCGAACTTGGCAGCTCCTGCCCTGGGAAGCCATCAGCACAGCAGCGGCCACACCAGGGCTGATGAGATAAGCAGACGTGTTGGTCCGCTGTGGCAGAGTATTCCGGTAAACCTGTTTTCCCACTCCCCGCAGGGCTACTGCTGGCTCGCAGGGCTGTGAGCGTCCTGGAAGCAGCTCCCCCTCCTGCCTACATCTCTACCAGGTGTCCCTTCCACGCGGGGCTTCTGCTGAAAACCCAGTGGGCCCCCTACAACTACATACTAAGGAGAAATTCACGCCGATACTCAACACAGCGGGCATGTATTGAGTGGCTACACATATGATGTATTTAATTCTCACAACCAGTCTTTCAGGTAGATGCTATTTGTAGCCCTGCTTTATAGATGAGGAGACTGAACCTTAAGGGTACGTGAGTCAGAGTTACCCAGGTCGTGAGTAGTAGAGGCAGGATTTGAATGCAGGTCTGTGTCTACGTCCTGGGTGGGCTCATCCTTCCATGCTCACCTCATAGTCCTGCCCACCTGTATCTCCA